CTCTGGAAGTGTTCAAGGCCAGGCTGGATGGGGCTTTAGGCAACCTGGTCTAGTGGAGGGTGTCCCTGCCCATGGCAGGTGGGTTGGAACTGGATGGTCTTTAAAGTTCCTTCCAACCCAAACCATTCTATGATTCTATGATTCCATTCTATGATTCTCAACTGGGTGGCATGATCTTTGCCTCAAGTTAATCTTTTTTTTTATTTTCATGTTATTCTGTTTTATTTAAAAAAATAATTAAAGGATCTTTGTCATTTCCTGAAATTATTTCCTTGCTCATTTTAAAAGCAGGTGGTTTTGTAGATCTGCAAAGCCTCTGTGTTACTGGGTAAAGATTTAAGATTTGCTACAGGGATAATATGGAGTGCCATTATGAACATGAAGCATTGGTCAGTTCATAAATCCTTAACAGTCATTACTTACATAGGGGCAGGATTTGTAAGGCATTTTTCCTAAAATATCTGACCCTTTCCTTAACTTCTCAAGCTCACATGGGCTGAGTGTCAGAAGGGCAGGCAAGAGAAAAATTGTTGCCCGTACTCTTCTGCCCCCCATCCCTTTGGGCTTGTGGGAGAGATGTTCTCCAGGAAAATCTGGAACCTCCCCTGTGCCCACCAAAAACTTGTACCTTTTACAGTTCCTCCCTGGATCATGGCCTTATAAATCTGCCTTGAAGGACAAGCAAGTGCCCTGCCCCCATTTTACAGATGGCTTAACAGATGTGGGCAAGTATCATTAGAAACAGAGCTCAGGATTAAGCATTTGTCCACAGCATGGCCCTAAAATGCCCCTTATTCATAGCCAGGTGGCCTTGCAGAGCAGTCTCATCATGCTCAGATGGCTGTTTGCACTGCCTGAAACTGGGGACTTCCAGCCAGGGCAGGGAGCAGGAGCTGGGACCCATGCTACCTTGACCACAGCAGCCCCACTGCTCCCAGGTATGCCCCCCACTCCAGCATCAGCAGCCCTCCTTCGCTGCTGGGAGGGTTTGCTCAGCCTCTTCGGGTCTGCCACTGGTTACACCACTTAGCCGGGGTCTGCTATGTTTCTAGGGCTTTGTTTAAACAATCAAAAGTTAGAAAACTTTATTTTAAAATTTACTTGAAGAGAATATATAGTCACAAAGTCAGGTAGGTAAAGACTAGGAAATACTTGATTCGAGGCTGTCTAAGAAATATTAATTCAGCCTACTTATGCTGCTTGTTCTACTCATTTCTTTACCCCAGTTGGAGAATAGCATGGGCAGTGAATAAGATCAAGTATATGAACAGTAATGATGTTCCCTGGCTATAGTTGCAATCCAGATAAAAAATTCATAGCATTCAAATGTAATGACAGGCAGGAATAGAATAATTAATGCCTACAAGGATGACATTTGGATTGCACAGATCATGTTTACTCTGATATCTCCCAAAGTTTTAATATTTGCATTGGCAGTCCAGCATTATTCTAATTTATTTTATTTTTGTGTATGCAGTCCGTATGTATGAAATGCCCTATTTTCCCTGTTTTCCCTGTTGGTTAATAGGTTGGCTTATGGTAGTGATTTGCAATGTTACAGGCAAGGGAGGATGTGATCCACATGCTGAAGACAGAGAAAACCAAACCTGAAGTTTTAGAAGCTCATTATGGGTCTGCAGCTCCAGAGAACGTGCTCCGAGTGCTACACAGGGATGCCATCCTTGCCCAAGAAAAGTCTATAGGGGAAGATGTCTATGAGAAACCAATTTCAGAGGTAATAACTTCTTGATTTACATCATTATGTATGCACAGGGGGAATCCTAACCAGAACTGAGACTCCACATATTTGGATGTGTGCAAAGCATGCAAGAGGGTAACACAGCATTTGTACAAATGACAAGAAATCGAAGAAAAATTGAATATTCTTGTTCACTCAACTGCAGAATAAATTGTATGCGAAGTCACTGGGTTTGAACCCAAACAATAATGAACTTATATGCTGCTTAGGGCTGGTGCTGTTAAGTGAGAACAAAATATTTGGGTATTACATTTCTGGTTTTTAAATTTCTTTTAATTATAGGCTCCAACCTCTCTTTACTACTCAAAGCACTGGTAAGCACTCTTTGATTTTCCTGGCCAACTATACCCCTATCACATATGTAGAAGACCTTCAGAGATTTACTTTGACCATATTTATGGGATCATAAATCCATAATCATTTTGCATCACTTAAGCTCTAGGACTGCAAAGTCAGTTCAGCCCCTAAAGGAGCCCTGTAGGACTTGATCCCTTGCTTTAAAATCTAAGCAATAAATTAATGCAGAATAGACCTGGGAGTGTCTGAGGCCAGCATGAACACCAAAATAAGCAGCCACTGCTCATGTTTATAGCTTCAGAACAGTTCAGGGCATGGAGAAAGGGCATGCAACAACGTACAATATAATATGCTGTAGTGCCTGTCCAAATCTTCATAGTTCCTCCTATTAGAACATTTATGTTTTTCAGCAGAACAATATATCTTTATCCTCTGTATTCTCATTGAAGTGTCTTCTAGAAATTTTGGGATGATAGTTGTCCTGTTTTTCAGCCTGTGCTAAACTATGACAATAGTAAATAAGGAAAGCAAACATTAGCATGTGGGAACATGCATGAAATACTGTTGTACAAGATTAAAAGAGATTAGCAGGGCTTTTGTCTAAAGAAGCTGATAATTTGATGGGGACCTCAATGTAAAACTTTTGTCATGCATAGGTCCACAGGGGTTATGTTGGACCTAAATTAGGATGGTAATGAAATTTCCTAAATGCAAAAGATCTACTGTCAAAGGCTGAACCCAACCTGGCTCCTTTATAAAATGCAACGACTGTTTTGCTTTGACTGCCATGGTCAACCCCTGGAGAGCAAATCACCGTGGTCCTCCTGCTCTCTTATTTTCCTCAGTTTGCTGAGGCACCCTGTGAAACAGCAACTGCCCTGTGCAGCCGAGGCTGAGGAGGATGCAGTTCCCGCAGGGTAAAGGGCTGAGGTTGGGCAGAGCAGGCTCTGCCAGCCACCGTGCCGGGGGAAGGCAAGCAGAGAAGTGCCAGGGCTGCAGGCTGCTTTGGCAGGGGCAAGGATGGAGTTTGTCATCTGCTGCCAAGAAACAGTAGAAGGAGCAACGTGAATAACTGTGGTGGCTTCAGAGTGCCCTGGCAACTTTTCAGACACACCTCTCTGGCCTTAGTGTTTGTTTGAATAATAACTGACATATTAAATTAATAAAAAAACCCTGAAGACAAAAAAAAGGTAAAGTGTGGCTAATAAAGAAAGAAATTTCTGTCAAAAAACAGCCTGAGGGGAAACCCCTAAGGCTTATAATGAATTGCATTTGGTAATGTAAAATTAAATCTATGCTGAATCTAAATAGTTTAGACTTTTTATCTCAGCAGTCCTACAGATGCATTGAAGATGCATAACTCAAATTTCAGCCTTGAGCTTACAGCTTATGCTCCACATGTAGGTGTCCAGTCCCCATACAGGTGGGTGAACTCAGGCTGCCAGGGTCTGGGGGCACGTATCCTGCCCTGACATTTCCTACAGCTTTTCCTGTGTGCAACGAGGAAAGTGTGCACAGCACCTCGCCGCAGGGGAATTTCTGCACTGCAACAAGATTATTTCTTATCCTAAAACTAAGCAAAGTTCTGTCCCTTGTGTATGTGAGAACCATGCAAATGTTTATTGCAAACACAGCATTCAAAGAAATCCTTACTTTTACAGGACAGTTACTCTTATTTCTAGTCACTGCTTTATGCAAAGCTCAAGAAATAAAATTATGGGACTCATGTTTACCAACCACAACATTGTTGGTTAATAAATCAGATGAAGTAAGCAAGGAGACCCTTAAAACAGTCTATTCTCCTTTTCTACAATCCAGCTGGACAGACTTGAAGAAAAGCAGAAAGAGACATATCGGCGCATGCTGGAACAGCTCCTATTGGCAGAAAAGTGCCATCGCCGCACAGTTTATGAGCTAGAAAATGAGAAACATAAACATACAGATTACATGAACAAGAGTGATGACTTTACCAACCTCTTGGAACAGGAGCGGGAGAGGTGAGTACCTGAGACAGTGCAAAGAGTATCTATCCCAGCGTCCCACTGCTTGTTGGTTCAGCAGGTACATGATCTGGTCTTTTCTGTGTTTAAATGACACTAAACTCATGTGTAAACCATTCGTAAATGTCGGTCTACTCATGTTATTAGTAAGTACATTACCGTGCAAGTCTAGAGCTGGAGGAGTTCCGTTGAATGTTCCTGCAGTCTGCACTTGAATTAAGAAATGAATTTGTTTTGAATTACTCATGCCCATTTTGGGTTCACCTCCTGGTAGCTTTTGATGAGATGTTATTTATGTTGGCTAAGTTTGGGGCTGGCTTGCTTAGCTGCATTTTGTGAAGGATGGGCCACTGTTTGTCACAGCAGGAGGACGGGGTAAGGAACACCACAACACACATTAGGGTACTGGCACACAAGTGGTAGGGACCTTGCCATGCCCTTCGCATTTAGGTTTGCAAAGTCACAAACCATTTGCAGTATTTTTCATATTTTTGAAGACACGTGCCTCAGGCAAGAACTATGTTACCCTGGAAGAAAATATTTTCATGTTTTATAAAACGTGCCCAGCCTGTGATGGACTAATCTGCAGCGTTTATCTCACAGGCTCATATGCTCTAGGTTTTTTCTTCAAGTGTTTGTTGTCCTGGTGGGAGTAATTTGTTCTCTGAGTCTTTAAGAAAAGAAAGAGCACCTACCTCAGGTGAAGAATGAATACTCGGTAACAGCCTCAGTTTTTCAATATGAAATTTTCATACTCATACCAAACTGCCTGAAATCAATCCGCAACATTGGTTGGTTGTGGGTTTTTTTAGGGGAAAAAAAAAGCTCTGAGAAAAATACTTCAGGCAAGTTCAAAGAAGAAATGCTTTTGAGGAAACCACAGTCTGGTGGCAGACATTTGCAAAAAGCCAGGAGCTACATTGTTTAGCGTATTTCCTGAGCTCCGTTCAGAGCCAGCTTTGAGTAGGTGGCACATGAGCTACAGCAACCATATTTCCTGGTTTTCTGTCTCTCTACTTTTCTGAGATGACTGGCAAACTTTAAAGGACAAAATTGCATCTTGGCAATTTGATTGTCTTAGCAGAAAATAAAAAAATTCGTTGTATTTCCAAGTAAGGAGCAATTTCATATCTGATTCTCATAGATGCTATTTTTTCTCTATGCTGAATATCTGTGTGTGTGTGGACATGCAGGCAACTAAAATGCTTCAAAAGTGAAAGTGTTGTTAAAAAAACATTTACATTTGTCTTTACATTTTGTATTCACTCTAGTTTGACAATTGTTGCCTTCTTATTATTCCAATTCAACTCATGAATCTGAATAGCCTGAGATTATGACCTGTTTTGAACTGATTTCCTTCAATGAACTGATTAAAAAGCTTTCTGTCTTACATTACTACTACTGAGATATCAAGTCCCATCTCTGTGGGCATTTTCTCATACTCTTCCTGCTCTTTCATGTCTTTTAAACGTCAGTTTTTCCACATTCTACAATTTTTGGAAAAACAGCAATAAAAAAAAGGAGAATTTGGGTTTGAACTTCTATTGAAAGCAGATCTTTAAGAGCAACTAAATCCGCTGGCTTTAGTCACCAGTGCCTCTGTACTGGTGGCCGCAGGGAAAGAACTGCAGTGCTGAAGCCCTTTTGATTTATGTTGAGTGACACGAGAAACCTGATGTTTGCTATTTAATCCACTTTGTTTGTCTAAGGCACTAATGAGAAAATTCGTTTCAAGTTTAGTAGCGACCAAGCAGAGAGAACATGGCATGTAGCTAAACATAGAAAACCAAGCACGCACGTTCCTCCCTCTTCAGTGTCCTCCTCCCAGATCACTTGCAGAGCAAATTAGCAAAATCAGGATGGGCTGGAAACCACTCATTAGTGTATAGTCTTAAACGATCTCAACCCTCATCTTTGTTTGCTGAATGCACGTGAAACTGAGGCTGCACCCACATCTTTGTACGTATTAAAAACTTGAAGTAGTATCGTTTGAGGGCTATATTCACAGAGGAAGAGAGGGTGATGGGACTACTTCTTCGAGAAAGCCCCACAGTGGCAATCAGCAATAGATTTTTGTCAAAAAGAGAGTTTGTAGTGGAAAGATTAAGTTGCAATAGCTAAAACACACAAAAACCTCCCATACTCACTTAATTTGCATATTGGGACAGAGAACTGACCTGCCCAAAGGCATTTCTCAGGGTCCTGCCTAGGCGTTCCCGTTTTATAAATACCACAATAAATATAATTTGTCTTACTGTGGTGCTTTGAGGCCTGAGGGTTATTTTATTAAGAGCTGAGCAGACATGTAGTCTCCATGAAAAAGAAAAGGGACATGGAGGTGAACTTTGCCCGTCAGCCACTCTGCTGCACTTGCAGTTATAACGTTAATGAGACAGGGTGAGCCGGAGGAAGAACAGTCCTGTGGGACAGCCAGCTCACAGCGGTCAGGTACAACAAGAGCAGTAATAATTTCTGTCCTGGATCTAACTAATTTAAGTAATTTCTTTCCTCACCATTGTTGTCCACACCAACTTTTAGAGGCCACATCTGCTTTTGCTGTCCTGTGAAAGTTTGAACAAGATAAAAAGGGGAATTATTTAAGAGCAGAAATATTCCTCAGTTCTAATGCATTTCTAGCACTCTCTTAATGTATTTACTTTGGAAAATTCTTTTACATACCCTTTCATACATTATATCTAATCCATCCACAACAATGCGATATGAAAGCAAACAGTCCCTATGAGGGACTAATTATTAGGTCAGCCTCACACAGGAAGAAAGTGACAGGAAAACATGATTTGTCAAGAATAATTATGCATGAAAAGTATAAAAAAAAGTATACTGAAGGATATTCAAAATGTAGACAGCTAGAAGGGGTAAATGAAGAAAGCTGGAGTGCCTGACTGTTGGTGTTGGCTCCGCAACACCAAGTGCAACTAAGCTGTAGAAAGGTTGTGGAAAAGGTTGGTGTGTTACAGGAAAAGAGTAGTGACAGCTGTTTGCCAGACAGAGGTGAAAGAAATCCCGTACTTTTAGTGGAAGGTGTTTCTACAGACATGGTGGCTGAAGTGTTTTGCAAATTTCTCTATAGTATGTTATAATCATATCTAAAGATGGGAATGTTTTGAAAGTTAGGGACAGTATTTTCCATTTTTACCATTCCACCAAAATTCCTCTTTTCCACGCTTGCCCACCTTAGCTGCTGTTCTTGTAACATCAAGTAGTCCTTGGGCATCTCCTGTCCCCAAGAGCGCAAAAGCAGCCACCTTCCTGGACCCTCCCAATGCAGCTGAGGAATAAGGAGAAGAGCTGGGGGCCCCCAGGCCCCCATCAGAGACCTTTGGTGGCAGACGGTGGGGTAAGGAGTCTCTGGTCTGGTAGGTGGAGAACGAGGAGTCTGACTGGAGCTGCTCTGACAACATAGCTTGCAGTGGACACCTGAAGAGCAGGAAGACCACGCAGCAGCAGCCGCAATGATAAAATCAGTCATTCCAGCACAGACACTCTCCTGATCTTCAGCGACGCTTTGGGGAGTGACCTGGTGGCACGAGCACTATTGGCACTTCCCTACCCCAAAAAGCTCTTGTCTAAAGTAGGCTTCACATGAAGTGGTACTTGGTTGTTCTCTGTTCTGCCTAGTCCCAGCTCTCTTGCTTTCCCCTTTAGGGAACTGGTGGGTGTGGGGGGAGATCTTTAGGATCAGTTATAAACTTTTTAATGTGATCATCAGGGCTTTTTCTTCTGGTGGAAAAAGGGAGAGCTCTGTGTAACCTCGGCACTGCTTCGACCCCTTGATCGACCTAAGAGATGAGGTTTAAAATCCTGACATTTTTAGAGGTGCTAATCTCTGAACAATTTGTCTTGTACTCTTCTTTTAATCCTATTTGTTGACAGCACATTTTGCTGCTATTAAAAGCACTGGAAAGCTACCATTGATTTTAATGGTTCAGAAACAGGCTTGTGGTGAGGACCACTGAGCCAGTCCTGCAGGACGGATGGCAGAAATAGCCTGAAAGCCTCCAAAAATGGGGGGAGGAGGGAGTTTCTTTCATATGCATGGGACGTGGTTTGCCAAACAGAGGGTGCGATGTGGCAGAAAGGCTTTGTTGGAGCTCCTTAAGGGAGATCTGTGCAACTGCTTTGTGAGTAATTTGACCATTTCCAGCACGATCCCCGAGACTGCTGAGACTCTTTTACCCCCCGCCCCCCCAACATGTCAGTAAATACACACTCAGTATCTAATGTAAGTATTGTCTGTCTGAAAGCATCGATATTATGTTTAGCCACATTTTGTTGTAAGACTTCCTTGAAGCAATGAGGATTTTAAATTGGCTCTTGCTTTCCTTGCTGCAGCTTCAAATTATTCTTTACAACCACAGCGACAGTGTTCCCAGTTCACTGAAGCATTTCACATTTTCCTCAAAGGCAAAGCTGAGGATTCAGTCTGTACTTCCTAAGCAGTGCCCTGCTAAATCTGGTTTTAGTTAAACCCTCTTTTTGAAGTACATGGCCATAATTAGATCTGCTTAGAGGAGACAGCAGGACTGTGACCCCAGATCTTTCCTCCACAAAGTTTCCTTTCAGTCTTCGAGTAAAATTGTCTCCTCTCTGCCTCCCCCATCACAGCACCCCCAGCAAGGAATGCACTGGCAAGTCCCTCGGAGGTCTGTGATAATACATTCCTCTCGGCTTTGGTCATCCTGGCACCGAGATGCTCTTGGCTGCTCTGCTGGTGATGTAATTCTGGGCCCGCATCACCTGCAAAGGAAACTGATCTGCGAGCAATAAAGCACACAGACGTCTAAAAACAAAAATGGGAGTGTTGATGTTAGCAAGTTTTTAAAATATTTTCCCCCCTTTTTGCATTTCTACTTTTATTACCAAAACTCCCCTTCTCCCTTTTCCCACGAGACGGCAGCACCAAAGCCTTTCATTGGGAAGTGCCTGCCTTTTTGTTTCCTTTTATTTCATGGACCCAAGCAAGTGTAAAGGCTGGA